TCGAAAGGGATTTATCCGTCTGTCCATGTCACCGGCAGGGGCTGGAATCTTCCTCGTGGAGAAAAAGGACAAATCCCTGAGGCCCTGTATTGACTATAGGGATCTGAATAAGATTACAGTTAAAAACCGTTATCCTCTGCCCTTAGTCCCCAAGGTATTTCAGAGGTAGAAATCAGGCTCTAATTTCACTAAGCTGGATCTCAGGGGTGCATATAACCTGGTCCGTATACATGAGGGGGATGAGTGGAAGACCGCTTTTCGCACTCAGTTCGGGCACGTCGAATATTTAGTCATGCCCTTCGGGTTATGTAACGCACCGGCCACATTTCAACACTTTGTGAATGACATATTCAAAGATTTCCTGGACATCTTTGTGATAGTTTATTTAGATGATATCCTGATTTTTTCATCATCTCTGGAGGCACATCGAGGTCACGTCAGGAGCGTGTTGGAACGACTTCGCCAGCATGGGCTCTACGCCAATGCGGAAAAGTGTAGTTTTTGAACAGCACAGCATCCCATTTCTGGGGTTAATTATTTCCACCACTGGAATTGCTATGGACCATCAAAAAATCTCGGCCATCCTGGAATGGCCGGTACCCACAGATAAGAAAGGGGTTCAGCGATTTATCGGCTTTGCCAATTTTTATAGGAAGTTCATTAAGAATTTCTCAGGTCTGGCATCTCCTATCACCCAACTCACAAAGATGGGAGTATGCTTTCAGTGGACACCAGAGGCACAGGCCGCCTTTGAATCCCTAAAGAAGCTGTTCATGACAGCTCCCATCTTAAGTCACCCTGATGCGTCCCTACCTTACATATTGGAAGTAGAAGCGTCAGAAAAAACGCAGTGGGGGCCAATCCTGTCACAAAGAAAGGGTGTAAAAGAACTGATGCATCCGGTGGCCTTTTTCTCCAGGAAGCTTACCGCGTCAGAGAAGAATTATGACATCGGAGATCGGGAATTTTTGGCCATTAAAACAGTACTAGAAGAATGGAGATACCTATTGGAGGGAGCCATGCATCCCATTCTGGTCTACACAGACCATAAAAATTTGGAATATCTGAGGACAGCTAAATGCCTCAGACCGCGTCAAGCCAGGTGGGCGTTATTCTTTTCGAGGTTCAGCTTCCACATTACGTATCGACCAGGGTCCAAGAATACAAAACCTGACGTGCTCTCGCGTATGTATGAGGACCCCAAAGAAATGCCCAAACCAGATACCATCCTGCCAGCAGGTAATTTCCTATTGTTTCAATCAGAGCTCCTGTCTAAATTACAGGCTGCGTCCCTGGAGCCCCCCAACTTACCTGGAGTTCCAATACAGAGTAGGGAGGGTCTCTTATGGAAAGGGAAACAGATCATGGTACCGGAAGGAGCTCGGACCTTGGTTCTGGGCTACTGCCATGACCATCCGTTGGTGGGCCATTTCGGAGTACACAAGACCCTAGAGTTGGTGCAACGCACCTTTTGGTGGCCAAGTATGCACAAAGATTGCGAGACCTATGTAAGAACCTGTGCAGTCTGTAACAGGAATAAGCCCTCCAGGAACAAGGCTTGGGGCCTGTTACGTCCTTTACCGGTGCCAGACAGACTATGGAGCATGATCTCCATGGACTTCATAGTAGAACTACCACCGTCGCAGAATCATACTGCAATTTTCGTGGTGGTGGATCGCCTTTCAAAAATGGCCCACTTCCTTCCGCTGAAAAGTACCCCGTCTGCTTCCGAGACAGCACAAGTTTTCATCAGGAAAATAGTGAGACTGCATGGTGTACCCAAAAATATAGTCTCAGATCGGGGTGTTCAATTCACTTCCAAATTCGGGAAAGCACTATGCGAAAGTCTGGAAGTGAAATTGTCCTTTTCCTAGGCCTATGACCCGCAAACGAATGGGCACACTGAGTGGACCAATCAAACGTTGGAACAATATCTCAGATGCTACACCTCATTCCTACAGGACGACTGGTTGCCACTCTTGCCCCTGGCGGAGTTTGCCTACAACAATGCAAATCACTCTGCCACCAGGCAGTCCCCATTCTTTGCCAATTATGGTTTCCACCCCACCTTTTTGCCAGACCTGATCCCAGAAAACCCAGTTCCTGCAGCTCAAGAGTCCTTAAATTTCTTTCCATCCAACAACAAATTGTTACAGGAGGCAATGGCAAAGGCTCAGGAAGATAGCAAAAGGGCCTTTGATAAAAGAAGAAGGGGGGAATTGGTTGTGCACCCAGGGGATCAAGTTTGGTTACCAACTACCAACCTAAAGATGGCATGCCCATCGAGAAAATTGGCACCCAAGTTCGTGGGCCCATTTCAGGTGAAGCGTCAAATTAATGAAGTGGCTTTTGAATTAGCTCTGCCCGAGTCTTTCAAAATACATCCAGTGGTTCATGTATCCCTGCTAAAACCTGCCACTCCAGATCCATTCCTGGACCGTAGATCAAAGCCACCAGTGGCCCTAGACGTTCAGGGAGAGGAGGAATTTGAAGTAGAAGCAATTCTAAACTGCAGGAAGAGAGGGGGTCAGACACAGTACCTTATAAAATGGAAAAGTTATGGGCCAGAAGAAAATTTGTGGGAACCAGCCCGAAATGTCCACGCTCCCAGGCTAATTCAAAATTTTTTTCGGAACTATCCACAAAAGAGGAGTCAGTTGGGCATCCGGAGGCTGCCCATAAGGGGGGGGGGAAATGTCAGGGAACGAGAAGATCGCCACGACGCATGAATCTGCACATGCGTAGGATTCCGACAAGACATAGAGGCAGGCGGGCACTAGGACCCAGGCGCGCCTGTGACCAATGACAGTGCTGGCAGGCACTAGGACCCAGGCGCGCCTGTCAGTGCCGGGTGGGCTATTTAAACCAGCTCTCGCAATGCTCACATTGCCGTATGGTCTTATTCCTGTGTTCCTATTCCTAGTACCTGAGATTGCCTTTGTTGCCAAACCTGCCTGACCCGGATTATCGTGACTCTCTCCTACCCTGATCCCTGGCTTGTCTGACCATTCTTCTGCTTTCTCCTGTTTACCTGACCTCCTGTTGCTGAACCTGGCCTGTGACCCGTTTATCCTTTTGCCTGCTGATCTGTACCGTCTGCCTCTGCTGTTACCGACCTGGCCTGTCTGACTACGTTACATGCTACCTCTTCACATCTGGCTCTCAGTTGTTACCTACCACTGGCAAATCCACCTCTACCACAGCTGGTTGAACTCGGGGGTCGCGACCTGATCTCAGGCTGCTTCAAGTCCATCCCCACCATCAGGGGCTCTGGTGAAACAGCAGACTGGGGCTTAGATTCCGCACCCTGAGGGATTCCGGCCTGTGGGTCGCTAGAGGCTACCGCCGGTCAGTCTTTAACACCAGGTCTCCTGCTGTGTCTGTTTCCCCAGGGTTCTAGACTTAAGGAGGCAGCCAAAGGTGCAGGGTTAGCTAAGAAAGGTCCTTTGGTGTCTCCCCCTCCGGTGCTGTTGCCTCAGCATCGTCGGAAGAGCCGTGTTAAGAAGGTGGAGGTGGAAGGAGGTGGTAATCAGGGGGTATCGAACCCCAATATTGGGGTCGGAGAGGCGGGAGGTGGAGTGGACGAGGGTGGAAGGTAGGGGGAAGAAAAATAAGGTTGCTATTTCCCCGGCCTCGTCCATTTCTTCCCTAGATGTAAGGGAGCTGTCCATCTCTAATAGGTTTGGGGCTCTATCTGAGGATGAGGGGGAGTCGGTGGACTCCTTGTCCCCGATGGAGGAGAATGGGAGGGAATCACTGGGGGAGGGTGTGTGTAGTTTCAGCTGTAGGGGAGGAAGGAAAAGAGAAGGATAGGAAACACCAATCTTAATGGCTCAAATGGCAGTTCCCGCTCTGTTAAAGGTGGTGACTATTAATGTCGCCAGCATAAAATCTGTAAGCGCTAGAGATACAGCCTTATTTTTGCTCAGCGGTATTGATGCTGATGTTTTATTTTTGCAAGAGACCCAGTTGTGTAGTCTAGCTGATATACATCTGGCTAAGAGGTAGTGGAGGCGTGGGCCCTCCTTTTGGTCTCTTACGGCTGAGCCTTACATCGGAGTTGCGGTGCTTTTTACCGGTATGGTAACGTGTCGGCGGCTCATTGAGGTGGAGATTGGAAGATGTCTGATCTTAGATGTCCTTGTGAGGGGGCAGGAACTGCACCTGGTTAATATATATGGACCACAGTCCAAGTGAGACAGGAAATGCCTCTTCACGAAGATCAAGCCTTTTCTTTTTACGTCCCGGCAAGTTTTCTTTGGAGGTGATTTCAACACCGTGACTAGGCCCAAGGACAGGGAAGGCTCCAATGACAGGCTGGGATATGATAGCGTTTTTTTAAATGCGATAGTCAAGGAAGCAGGTCTGGTGGATGCCTTAATTAAGAGCAGCCCGGACAGCACTGGTTTCACGTTTAGGAGAGATAATAGCCAGAGTAGGATAGACAGGTTTTTTTTGAAGGAGGACTCTGCCTTCTCGGCACCCAAGTGTCAGGAGGTGGAGTTTTCTGACCACCTTTTGCTTACTGTGACTTTGAATGTTTCAAATGCGCCACTGAGAGGGAAGGGCATCTGGAGAATGAATTTGGCTCTGCTGGAAGACGAGGAAGTGAGACGATCCTTTGAGGAGTTCTTTCAGGCTCAGGAGACGGTGCTGGATTTCTGCAATAGTAAGCCAGAGTGGTGGGAGCTTACCAAGGTGCGGATTGCCAGGTTTTTCAGGCCCATAGGAAAAAGAAAACAACTTGATAAATATATCGCCTACCAACAGCTGCGGAGGGAGCTCAATCACCTTGTTTAAAGCGGTGGAGATTCTGAGGCGATCTCGGAGGTTAAGCTTCTTCTCAGGGAGTACCAGTATGACCGGCGGGCCTCTTTGGTTCTGGAGAGGGATTATGGGAAGTACCACTCGCCTGACCCTTTCCAGAACTGTAAGCAGAGCGCAGCGATTAAGACGGTCTTTGGCTTGAGGGATAGTACGGGATCCCTGACAAGATCCAGGTCAGGGATTCTGGAGGTCTCCAGGTCCTTTTATGAGGATTTACTGAGTGAGAAGCACCTTGACCGGAAAAGGATGTTGAGCTTTTTGGACTCTACACCAGGTTTGGAGGGTAATGTCTCGTCTGCAAGTTTGACAGGGGAAATTACAGTAGAAGAGGTGTCCAAAGCCATTGAGAGTCTGGCCATTAAAAAGACTCCTGGGCCAGACAGTTTGACAGCTGAGTTTTTTAAGGCTTTTAAGTCCAGCTTGGCACCCCACCTTGTGGAGGTCTATAATTGCTGTTTGGATGAGGGGTCGCTCCCTCCATGAGCCAGTCTGCAATAATTCTCTTGTCAAAGGGTAAAGATCCTTCGGCTATTGAGAACTGGCACCCCATTAGCCTCCTCAATGTCAATAGAAAGATTCTGGCTAAGATCTTGTTCTGGTGCTTGTCGTCAGTGGTGCATATTTTACTTTCTCGCCAGCAGCATTGTTCGGTCCGGGGCAGAAGTACTTTTACAGCGGTGTTAGCTGTCCGGGAGGCTCTGGAGCGGTGCAAGGCTGAGGGTTGGGGGAAGATTTTGCTGGCGGTGGATCAGGCAAAGGCCTTTGATCGAGTTGATCATGAGAACCTTTGGCATCTCCTGGACCGGTATGGCCCAGAGGGGAGGTTTATTGGCTGGCTTAAAACATTGTATAGGGAGGCTGAGAGCTTCATGTTGGTGAATGGATGGGTTGGGCGGCCTTTTGGGGTTGGTTCCGGGGTGCGCCAGGGGTGTCCTCTGAGTCCCTTGCTCTACGCATTTGCCAGTGACCCCTTTATTAGGAGGTTGGATGGTGGAGTGATGGGCGGGGGTGCTGGTGGGTGTCGCTGGGGATCCACCCCTGAAGGTCGTTGCCTACGCTGATGATGTTTCTGTCTTCATTTCTGGGACTGAGGAGGTGCAGGAGGTGGTCTCAGTGATGGATCAGTATTAGGAGGCGTCAGGCTCCAAGGTCAACCAGGACAAATGTGAAGTTTTCTGGATGGGTAAGGAAGGTGAGGGCTTTTCACTTCCGGACAACTTCCGGTACCTCAGCAGAAAATAAAAGTTTTAGGCATCAATTTTGGCCCTGCTGATTACAGCAAATCAAATTGGGAGGCTAGGCTGGCTGATGCCGAGGTCAAATTGAGATGTTGGAAGGGGTGGTGGCTCTCCTTAAGGGAAAGGGTTGACTTGATTAAGACTTTCCTGATCCCCATCTTTTTGGGGATCTCAAGCCATAATGAAGATAGCCCCAAAAGAACCCCAATTGCTCAAAACTGATATGGTACAAAAACATTTAAACAAAATAAAGGTGAATAAAGCACCTGGACCTGAGCTCACACTCATATCTCCTTGAAAAGTTGAGCTCTGCTATTTCAAAGCCATCATTTCTAATCGTTTATAATTTTTAGAGAAGGCCAATATGGTGCCTATATTTAAAAAGGTATCACGGCCTTTACCAAGTGACTACAGACTGGTTAGCTTAACTTACATGGTCAGGAAGATACTTGAGAGTTTAATAAACAAAAACACACAGAGGAGTTTTCGCTAGAAAACAATATTTTAAGCAATAAACAGCACTTAATCATAAAAGACCAAAGTTTTTGAACAAATCTGATTTCTTTTTATGAGGACGTAAGCAAAGGACTGGCTGTGCATATAGCATACTTGTATTTTGCAAAAGCAATCGACATATTTCCCCATACAGCAAATGTGTAAATCAAAGTCTGCAGGTTTAAAAAATTTACTAAATACATATACTGCAAAACTGGGTAAAAGACTATATTCATAAAGTAATGATTAATGGTTATTACTCTTAATAGCCTAAGGTTGGTTGGTTGGTGTATCTCAAGATTCAATGGGACGATAATAATATGGAGTTTTGATTTACAGTAAAAGTACCCTTTCAGTGTTTGTAGATGACGCCAAGCTGTGTAGTGGAATAATGTCCTTACAGGATGTTTCCAACTTAGAAGTCAACTTTTTAATTGGGTACTTATGTGGCAAATGAGATTTAATGTTTATAAATGTCAAATTATGCACTTGGGAGCAAAAACATGCATGCATCATACATTCTAAGAACAGCTGAAGGTATCAATGGCCATGAAGAATCTGGATGTTCTGGTAGATCATAGACTTAATAGTATGCAATGCCAAGCTGCTATTTCCAAAGCTAGCAAAATACTTTCTTGTATTAAAAGGTGTATAAACTCCAGAGAGAGATACATAACTTTGCATTGTACAAATCATTAGTAAGGCCTCATCTGGAATAGGCAGCTCAGTTATGAGTACCAGCAGGGCCAATGCTTCCACTAGGCAAACTAGGTGTCAGCCTAGGGCGCACTTCTGTTTAGGGGAGCCTGGGCACAGCACAAACCAGCACTCCCTCAGTGTGGAATGCCGCCACGTCATGAATGACCCTCCAACTGAGGGGAGGGGTGGAAGACGGGAGGAAAAAAGGACAGAGGAAGATGCCCAGAGTCTGGGGCCAGTGTAGCAGTTGATCTGCCATTCCTTCCAGTGTGTACTGCAAGCCGGCTGGCAGCTGCTGATGATCAATGTGGAGTTCCAGCCCTTCTCCTCCCATTCATCATTGGAGGTGGAGCTGTGCCCGAGGAGGAAGGAAATGTCTAATTCTGATATCTCATGTCCATGTGAGTGAGACCCGGCCAGTCAGCCAGCCAGCCATCCATCACAAGTGCAATGTGTCAGTGAGTGATGACATCATCACAATTCCAAAGCCTCCTCTTCTAGTGTTTGCTGGGTCTGCTGATCTGTGTCAGTGTTGGTAGCGGTGTGTTGTGTCGAATCTGTCACTGTGTGGGATCGCTCATTTCAGGTGTTCTCACTGCAACTGTGACCCTGCCACTGCCAGCCACAGATACAGTCCATCCGTGACACTGATTTTGTCTTTACTATTGGTGCTGGTGGCATCTTATGGCACTTATTTTTGCAAATTAAAAGAAATTTAGCAGTTTCACAGTTTGTTGATTTAATATTTTCTACTGTTTGTAAAAAACATTTATTTTATGGGGGTTTTTTTTTAGGGGGGGGCACAAGTAGCTGGTCTTGCCTGGGGCACAAAATAGTCTAGCACCAGCTGTGGGTACCAGTTCACAAAAAAGGATATTGGAGAACTGGTGAAAATGCAGAGAAGGGCAACCAAACTGATAAAATGCATGGTGGAGTTCAGCTATGAGAAAGGATTAGCTGAACTGAATTTATTCTCTCTTGAGAAGAGGAGATTAAGAGGGATATGATCAACATATATAAATACAAAGGTGGCCCATATAGTGGACGTGGTGTAGAGCTCTTCACTTTCCTTCTACTGGATCAACTGTAAGTATAGGACTGTGTACATAGAGGTTTTCTATTTGTTTTGTTTTTTTACTATTGGCTGAACTAGCCTGTTGGGGTCACAGAATCCAATAGATGGAATGTGTCAGATTGCATGAGGTGGAACTCCACTCTCTCAATCAACATGAACTGTTTTTAATCCTTATGCTGCCAGCATTAGTAAATGGAAAGGAAGGTATATTATATTTACTTGTTTGAAACTTTTTTTTTTTTTTACATTTCTTTAGGATAGGTTTGCCTAGGTTTCCAACCTAGGCAAATGATTTCATACATCCCAAGAGTCTTCAGAAAGGGAGGAGGAGCTTTCTCAGCAAAGCACATCCTCCTGCCTGTATGCCTTAGCTAAGGACAGATGAACTCCAGGAAGTAAATGCTACATGAATCTGGATCCAATGCGCCAATTCCAAGATTGTACAAATGTCTAAAAAAGTGGCACTCTTGAAAAAAAATTGTCCACGTATAGGTGATACCCCATATGGAAAAAGGATGACACCAAGTCCCAAACTATCTTGCCACTACTCCCCATGTAGTCTGGGCATCTGGGGGGCTCCACGTAACTATCTTTTCCCTCATAAATCCAAAACTTATAAGTATAACTTGTTGCCCTCTTACAGGTCTTCTACATCTTGACCCCATATCTGGCACGCTTGCTGGAGAGAAATTGTTTGAATGCCAGGTGGCCAGAAAAATTAATGAGGGACTCATCAACGCAGATTTTTTGCTGGGGAGTATAGACATCTTCAAATTTTTGGTTAAGGTAATTTTGTGAGGGGTTGAATTTTGTGGAGCCGGTCAAATTCAGGGTCACCTCAAGGACGATAGTGTATTGCTGTTGAAATGCATAAAACACATTATACTCTCATATCTATGCCTGGCCATGGCAGCAGAGAACACGGGCATATTGATGAATGGGGTCTGTGGACCAATATAACCGCAATTAATTTTTTTTAGTATTGCCCATTTTGAGGATTAGGAAAAAAATTTAAATTTGGAAACCGTAATGAGTTTCCATGCAAATGGTCTGGAAAGTTTTAAATTTGGGTTGGCGGAGATAAATTGTTGTGCATGTAAAATGCTTTGATCAACAATCAATGCATTATAGATCTTCCGTGAAAAACAGCTTAAAAAAATCAAGGGAGTAGTTAAATTTGCTATTTCCACCTGAATTCCGGGTTGGGCAGTGAATGGGGGAAGTATGGGTGCTGCAGAATTTGTGGGCTGCCAATCGGGATTTGATAGCACTTCGGAAGGATACTAGGGGCTCTATGGGCCTGTGTGCGAATTCTTGGTGGTTGCAGGACAATATCACCACCGCACCAGCTTGTGCTGCACTTATGGGACTCGCCACGTCGCCAAGTCATACTGCAGTGCTGGTATTATTATTATTATACAGGATTTATACAGCGCCAAACAGTTTGCTCAGCGCTTTACAAAATATAACATGAGACAATACAGCAACAATACAGTTCAATACAAGAGGGTTAGGAGGGCCCTGCATCTTGGAGCTTACAATCTAAGAGGTATGTGAAAGACCAGGATGTACTAGGCCACTAGTACTCGCTAGTTCACCAAAAAGTAGTGTGGCACTAGTACTGGCACTCTGCTGCATATGAGAGTCACCAAAATTTACCGGCAAGTGCCAACAGAGATCAGGCCTGATTCTGCGAACACTGCGGTTTTGGGTCAATGTATCAAGGGACAGTGGCCTACTAACACTGCACTTTCTGGGGGAGAAGGGGGGGACAAGCGTAGGGGCTAAACGCAGGTGCTGGCAGGTTCCGGGGCTGATCCCGCTAACACTGCATTTTTGAGGACACTATACTAATGTGGACGCTGGTA